TCCTAAACATTTTTAATACATAAATTACATATTGGGTGTTTAAATGTTTGCCAATACTAAACATTGGTTTCAGGAATGAATTCACGTAAAAACGTAAACAAAGCCAAACGACCTGAAAATATTTGGAAGAGGTTGATGATTGCCCATATTTGTTATTATAGTGAGTCAACGTAGAACAACCGTCTCGGTATAAGATAATAGTGATTTCCGCATACATGATAACTGGTATTAATATAGTACTGTTTCTAATTATATAACAATTCAATATGGTTTTCTGACAACAGAACATAGTTCCCTATTCCAGTTAAAACAATCATAGAAATTATCGTATTTTTAATCTATTTACTTCACCTAATTGGGGTCGGTCGACCTTGTAGTAAGCCCGCCCCTTCTGATAATATTTAACAACCGTTGTTTTTTTCATACTGCAATGTGTATTTTATTGATATTCGGAAATAAATTATTATCTATTTATTCAAATTGTGATTGATTCCTCTGTAGCAGGGGTGAGCATTTATAGGGGTCCCATTCATTTGGCACGCGAGCGAATCCTCAGAATCGAGATCATTCTCCTCCAGATAAACAGTTTCAAGACTCTGAATTATTTGATGAAACTCGGTGTTCGTTAATTCATTAAATTATCGTTTTTTAATAATCTGTTATTTATTTGAACTAATTTCTTATTGATTTATGGAAGTGGTTCTTAACCTCTGGGGTTTGGTGAAGCTGTTCCAGAGGTTCGGCAAAGGTCCTCTGAAACAGTTTTATATTATGGGACTTTTCTATTACCTCATGTACTGATTATGCAAAAATAACTATAGTTCATAGCAGATATTCATTGAACTTGAACGTTCAACATCCGATAAATTAACTTAGCTGTATGTATAGCTTCGCGCAGATAAAAGTTTTAGTGGACCGGACGATATTCTTAGAGTCCAGCACGTTTTATTAAAAAAACATCCACAGATTTTAGTATTTGTTCTGATTTACTGAGAAATCGAAGATAGGCGATAAATATACATAAATGAGAGCAAAATCAGCGCGTGTTTAAATTTCATTAGGTGATAAATTTGCGACAGAGAATAATTAATTGCAGAGCTTTGCTTGAAATTAACATCATCCGTTTCCGAAAACCTCGATATGGCACCGAGTCATATCGTATCGAATTACCTGTACTACCAACGTTTCTGAGGCATATTATCCTACTTTAAATTTTCAAAGTCGCAATATTTTTTTTATTTTTTTCGCCTTTTCACCCGCATAACTTATACAACAAAAAACGCATGCTCCCTACCTACACTATTGTGACAAAACATTATTATTTTCACACGAAGTTTTGGCATCTGAGGTTAAACCATGAAGTTCATTTTCTAAAGCATTGCACGAAACAGCCTTGATAAACTTGTGATTTGGCTCCTAATTTCAACCGTTCGGTGCGATGGGATTCGACGAGAGCATGCCGAATAGCGCAGGAGTTCGGCAGACTCGGAAAGGTTCGAAAAAAATATAAGCGATTAGGGAAGGGAATACAGCAAGAGAGAAGGACAGAAAACGAACTATAGCGTGATTGAGATGCCATTCCCGAGAATCGTGTCTCAAAAAATCTCTGTTCCCAGTCATGAACTTCATTAATAAGTCTCGTAACAGGGGTAGCCTGAGAGATGAAACCAGTTGTTCTTGTATTTCTTTAAAAGTCACAAAATATAAACCAAATGTAAAATCTTCAACAGCGATAATGAAGCAACAGAAGTCTCACTGATATGGAATGAGAAAAGTAATCAAATCCCTTTGTCGGACTGATATTTTTCAGAATTGTGAATCTGTCTGTACATGTTTTAAAGGTCTATTATTGTGTATTTTTTCTTTGAAAGTAGCAAGGCATTATTTTCAATTTTGGTCGGCACGCGAAAGAATTTTGTCGTTAAATTTATCCGATTTTGACACGCGAGCCGGAAAAGGTTGCCCATCCCTGCTCTATAGATTTTTCGGCGCTCCAGATTTGGTATACCAATACATAGGTAAATAATTTTGTTCGCCTACTTTACATCAAGTTGCGTAAAGGGACTGAAGCCTATGTAAAGGGGGTATATTCATTTGGCGGTGCTCCCGAGGTATGCGAACCAAGATGGCGGACATCGGAACGTAACATGGGTAACAGGTTAGGGTTAAGCGATAAATTTTTTCCAATTTTCCTTATTTTAGTCCTATTATCAGTTCGAAGACTAGCCAAGAGCCTCCCGTAGTATTTATAGCTAAAATTATGGCCTAACCCTAACCTAGTACACATATTACATTCCGATGTCCGCCATCTTGGTTCGCATACTTCGGGAGCCCCCATTTGGCTAACACAGACAGTCCCCGAACTCGTAATAGAACTAACATAAGAAAATTCGGAATAAAATTATGGCTTTACACTAACCTGGTACCCACATTACGGGAGTACCGTGTTCTGAATATTTTATATCATTATTATCCAATTCTGCCGTCAATTGTTATTTTAATATCAGATAAACAATTATTAGAATCTGATTCGGAAGTAAAACTACTTCGTTCTTTTCTACATTTCGTATTTTAAATTGAATGCGTTTAATTTATGCCGATGTTTTTTATGTATTCATCTTGTTGAATATGTCTGCGAGTTTTGATTATCCAGTTTGGATTTTTTTATTTCGTTAATTTATATTTCACTGAAACTTCGCTGAGTTTGGTTAAAATGTCAACCCGTAGTTCCCCGCCTAGCCTATTTTAGAACCCTTCAACCCTCCGTCAGTATACAGAAAGTAACCTATATACTTTGTTTATTCAATCTTCAATAAATCCTTATCTAATGTCCTTATCAAGAGTGCAGGTTGGACTTCCTCTTTTGTACAGTTTAAGTAGTGTATAATATACATAATATCATGATTATAAAAAAAACTGTAGAATATTAGTATTACTATGGCAAATGCAAAGCAAATTCCCTCCTCAAGAACGACAAAATTATTTTCGGTTGGGAAATGTTGATCTAGATTCTAGAATCTTTTTATACAAGCCTTGATATTATGATTCACCAACACTATGCTTGTAATCTAGTACAATCAGACGCTTCCGGCATTGCATATTTTTTTAGATGCTCAAACATGTTGGATTTAGGAATTATCAAATAATAAATCAGAGTGATAAAATAATAATAAACAGTTTTATAGTAAATACAACAAATACATTTGAAGCTTCCGTGATTAAAATCCAAACGTCCAATAAGATATCGTTTCTACTCAGTAGCGTAGCCAGGCCCAAATTACGAGTTTTTTTTTCAACATTTCTTGCGATTTTCGCTCCTAACCCACGTACATTTGAACCCATGTGTATATCCGCGGGTTCAATCTATACGCGGGTGCTAAAAACCCATGGGTTAGGGTTAGTATGGGTTCAAATATCCGTAAAACAAAACAAATCCATAGGTGCAATAGTATGCAGGTGCAATTGTCGTGGGTCCAAATGTACGTGGGTCAAATGTAATGGAACCGGATTTCACAACTCACTTGCGGATTTCCGACGAAAACACGAATCTGCACACGCTTCGATAAATACCTAAGTGGTGTTTCTCGCGAGTTCTCACACCGAGGAATAATTTTTTTTTCTGTTTGGTGTCAATGGTGGCAACCCAAATTTTCTAAATTGAAAAGCGGCAATACAAAATACTAAAAATAAAAACGAAGTACAGCATAAGTTTTGTTTTATGATGGTCCGCGACCGATTAAAAACGCTTTTTCGACATTGCAAATCGCAAAATTCTGGATGCTACCGTACCGGGGCATTTCCCCTTAGGATTCTTTGTTTCACTGCCGCCACATTGGTATACATTGGTACAGTACAGCCGTAGGGGTTGTACGAACAGCTCAGATTTGACGAATTCACAAAAATACGAATCAAAACAAAATATAATCGGGCACTTTACCACGCATTTTTGTGTCCACGGATTGTCATCGTATTTTCTGAGTAGTATTGCTTTTATTTCGTCAACACAACCGCAGATTAAAATGATCACAATAAAATTAATAATTAACCATGGCAATGAATATGCATTTTTGATTTACTAATATACTTTAAATATATTTTTAATAAGTACTAAATCAAGTTGAACTTTCTAAAAAATTATAGCAGATAGTAGGATTTTTCTAACGGCGATAACAAATTAGCAAGATCGCAAAAAATATGTATCAAAACTAAGTATAATCGGACAATATATTCTCACATTATTATGTTCACAGATTGCCATTGTATTTTTTTGTATTTTAAAGAAGTAATGCTTTCATCTTGTCGTAATTCGACGCAACCGCGAATTATCATGAACACAATTAAGTTAAAATAGAAATACATCTTAAATTCTTGTCCTTGTCACGGATTGAATATTGTGCGACAGAAAAGGCCATTGTTGAAATTCGTTAAAATTCTGTTGTGTTCGGCTTTATTGCCTGTTCACACAGAGTATATATACGGTTGCAATAAACGCACTATGAGTCCGCAAAGGGTTTCGCCGGTGAGAAAATAGTCAGCGATCAAAAAAGGTTGGGAAACGCTGGTCTAGCTAGACATACTCTTCCGTAAGTAGAAGTAGCTTCCTTTTAAACTTTGGGAATCGCTCCATCTGGAGAGATGACTCAGACAGGATTTATGAGGTAACGTTCATTACATCCTGTGCATGACAGCGACAAATGAAGCAACAGTTAGGAATGAAGGATGAGTTATCGTGCGCTTTTTGATAATCCAAAGTAAGAATTGCGGCGCGGTACATTCTAAGATTCGGCTTCAATAGTGGTTGTAATGCTTTTGCAAAGCAGTGGGATATTTTAAGTCTAAAGCAAAGCAAAAGTTACGGTTACCTGTGCGAAAAAATCAATATCAGGCTATTGAAAATTTGATTAGCGTATAGTAGTTTATCAACTACCTGACTATACAGATATACATTTAACATACCGAGTTTTTCATATATATAATTATATTACTGTATTGAGTTTAAATGGCCCGTTTTCTTGTGTAGTTTATTTAATTAAGTTGGAAATTAATAATACAACAATGAAGTTAGTCTTGCTTCTGATTTTCGTCTCGAGAATTGCATTCGGCTGGACCAAATTTGATATGGAACAATTTGTATCAACTGATCGTCGGGGCTCTGGTGAGTCAAAGCAATCGTTTTTTTTTTTATGTAACTCTGCTACATCGGTTACGGTGGAGGTGGACGTAGACAATTTTTGTGGGGGCGGGAAGCTTGGATATTCACTTTTCTTAATTTGTTTAGATATTGCGATTCAATCCTCGTATTTTCAACGTGTTTTTGAGTAAAACATACTTTCGTCTTACTATCTGTTATTTGTAGCTTATTGTTATTTAGTTATTTTTGGAGTGGACGCGAGACCTGAAAAATTCTAAAAATGGGGCTCTGCCTGAAATAAAGTTTGAGAACCACAGGGCTAGAGAATTTTAGAGCAATAGTACATGTGGTCTGATGTATTTCAAACTTTCTAAAAAATTTTATTCAGAACCTATGATTCTACGACCACCAGAGGAAGACAACAATGAGGTTGTCAACGATAATCAAAAAACATTTTGGTCTTATAAAGAAGCGCTATACCACGGAACAAGATGTCGCGAAATGAGTGAGAAATAGATTATTTTGTTTGTCTGAGATGAAAGTATAAGCTAGAAGAGCCGATAAAACGACTCAATCATCTCGCAAGCTGTTTCTCTATAGATTACGAGCCAATGTCGGGAATGGGAATGGTTAGACAGGTTTTCGTTTCAGATACATGGATTTTGATTTCTCATATCAAAACATATTTATTCCGTGGGTTCCATTTAACAGGGTTTCATGTCCTTGGAAGTTCATGGATCATAATTTCATATATACGTTCCTGTGCGCGTAACGAAACTACGTAATTGTTTACATATTAGGTTGGCATAATACTTTTTTCATACATCTGTTGTCGTTTTATTTAGTATTTTATTTGATTTTTAAAATCAGAAATTACCAAAAATCGGTCTCGATTATAAAGAAACCTGAATATAAAAAAAATATCAGATCACAAAAATACACATAAATCGTAGAATGTTAGATTGATCTGATCAATTAAATATCAATTATCACTTACTTAACAAGGTTTGTTAAATCAAATAAAAGAATTTTTGTTTTGTTTCATGCGTGAATCTGGAGCTAAAAAATCTTGATATGACCAAAAGTTTGCTTTTGCGAATTCAGCAAGAAATAACTTTAATTTTAAATGTGGAATAATATTTAAAGTATATTTTTATCCTAATTTAGATTTACTGAGTTGTTCAGTTGATTGCGATCACCATAAGATATATAAAGAGCATGGATGTTGCAAATGTGTTTGTTCAAAAAATTATGCTCTCTTTGGCTCCACGGAATGTCACAGAGGTAGGCTGGAATAAAATTTAGGGTTCTCCCGTAGTATTTGTGCCAGGTTAGGGTTAGGCCATAATTTTATTCCGAATTTCTTTATTTTAGTTCTATTACGAGTTCGAGGACTGTTTGTGTTAGCCAAGTGAATATAACCCCTGCCCACAGCTTTCAGTGCCTTTACACAACTTGATGTAAAGAAGGCGAACAAAATTAGTTGCCTTCCATGTTGGTACACACACTTCTGGAGTTTAGTAAAAACAAGTTTTAGGTTGATAATTTTTGTTCTCTTATCTAAACAAACGATACATTGAAGTCGCTTCTTGCATTGTTGATTCAGCATCTTGGTCAAAATGGAGTCGTTGGAGTAAATGTATAAAATCTAAATGGGGAGGATTGCAAATGAGGGAAAGAATATGCAAATCACGCGGTAAGAAAACACCAGCCGTTTGCGAGGGAAGAGGAAGCATTTCGAGGACTTGTGCACCTATTACAGGAGGTGAAAGACTTTTTCCATGACCCATTAAAAATCGCGATAAAAAAATTTCGTGTTTAATCACAAAAACCTAGAAAATACTCAAATAGAAAGATATAGGTTTGAAATAATATTTGTTTGTATATCCATAATAATTTATAAAAATGTATAACACCCATCAGAAGGAAAATATTCCGGGCGCTACATGTCATTTGTATTGTCATCTTTATTACTTGAAACTCCTAACTATTTACATCTATGTAAAAATAGCGAGTGGTGTTCACGAAGCGTTTAAAAAGAAGTTTCGGTGCCACTAGATACGCGATATCACCGTGATTTCAATCGAATACCAACAACAGTCATGACGCATTGGTTTGCTTTCAATTTCATAAATCATTCTCATAGAATTCAGTTCCTAACCCGAACTAAAATCACTTAGATCACACAACCGATGAGATGAGATCCCATACCAAAATAATAAGCATCAAAATTTTTTTCCAGGGGAAATTCTAAATAAATATCGAACTTTACAATTTTGTCGTGTGGGATAATTTCGATTTTTAATAAACTGTTTATATTAGGGTTGTACTCGTGTTTGTATCTTAATGAGAACGTGCTTGTTCAGAGTTTCGAATCAGAAAGAATGTTCGTCATCTCACGGACGAGGAAATGCATGACTTGATTCAAGCGATGACTAAGTTAAAAGCTGATAAATCAAAGAAGGGATTTCTGGTATGTATTGTATAAAGGTAATATCACAAGGTTGAAAATGTCGCAAAAACATCAATACATCGCAGGTTAAAATGTCGGGTTTAAATCCAACGCACCCAGTGTGCGAGAATTTGACAATTTCGACCGTACAAACTATGGTGGTCTTGAAAATTTGGAAATTATTAAATATATGCATGTGGTGCCGGTTTCAAAAAGCGTCACGTTTTTTTGTCATTGTATTGGGTTATCGTAATTTGGTACAAAGCCCTCGCCACTGATGCAAAAATGTGAGATCTGAGAAAAGGACCCCGCTACTTTTCAAATAACAAATTGGTAATTAGCCCGTTTGGGGTTAAGAATGATTTGAAATTTTGAATTTTTGTAATCTGCATTCCTAACCCAAACTGGTTAATTACCAATCTCTTTTCAGCGTTGAGAGGTGTGTTTATTGCGGGGAGCGTTGTACAAAAGATCCCATATTTTTACGAACTCATGGAATCCCACACAAGCATATTTATTTACTCGGTTCTCGGATTCAAGTCCCATGCCCCACCTCACCCAGGGTGTAATAAATTGGATACAATGTAAAAAAAAAACACATGAGGTTTACCGGATGAACATGTAAAACTCAGCATTTTTATTCTGTTATCAACATTAACAAAAAAGTTCAAGTGAATTTCCCCTCAGCTTAGTTGCGACGTGCGTACTTTCACGTCCTTCCAATATCCTGTTTCACTCTATCAGATGCGTCAAGTCAGGAAGACGAAATATTATTTACCTCCAAACTATACCATGCATGTAAAGTATGAAACACTATTTTTACCGTTTTGACTATTTTTATTATGTTTTTAGTTCGCCCAAGGTATCTGTTGTGACAATATATATATATATGTTGAGATGGAAATCTCGCGATGATACCCCGCCTTGCCCCTAACCACCTTTTCAGATGGCCACAAATGTAGTAGCATAGCATAACTTTTTCTGTGATAATTATGGTTGTCACCGACAATAACAGTAGTTTAGAAACTAATTTTTCTCTTTTATTAAATATTTGAATCTTGGGTGTCTCTGCTCGATAACCAATTTTGCCTCCCCGCGTCTTCCATTCCCAGTAAAATTGTGTGGTTATCATTTTTCTCCGTATTTTCTGGAATAAAGAATTTTTTCACTGGTTGGACAAAAAAACTTGGCTCGAATATAACCAAAGCCACTTATTCATTTTCGAAGCGTTGGCACAATGCCTAAACTTTCCGCCCTCACACTATTATAAGGCTGGCATTGTTAAGGTCTTTGTAAATGCTTGCTAATCGCCTTCTATTTTACTGGGCAGAATATCGCATCGTGGCATGGTTTCCCTGGACGTTGCCCGTGGTACAAGATGTATAAAGGACACGACGATGGTCACTGTAGTTGGCATCATCATCCTTTATTCTTACCTTGGCACAGACTGATAACTGTACAGTTTGAAATGAGTAAGTTACTTCAAACACAGCAATATTGTTATTCAAATTCACCATTTAGTTCAATGATACATTGGATCATATAATTCGTGCGAGCAATTCTAAACCCTTAGCGTTGCAAATTGTATACCTGCGTACAATTTATTATCTATGTCTATGGTGTTACAATTCCCTAACTCCTAACACATAGCTTATGCGAATCGAACAGCGCGTGTCATAAGATCAATCACCAAAATTATTGTGCCTGCGACTACTGGAAAGCCTATGTTAAATAAAGGTGCACCCGCGGTTTCACTCAGTTATTTGTATCTGGCCCTCCTGTATTATAGGTTGCACACCACTGATGCAATTTGTTATCATAAAATATACCGATCACAAAAAATTTAAACATTCGAATCGGAACACCTAAAAGTTTTATGGGGAATGTCAGAAAACACACTTATATGATTACATTATCCTCGTGTATTTGATTTTATCTTTACATAGTATAATATATATACAATGATCTAAATTTTCGAATTTGAATTCAAACTTGCAGTACCGCTGACTTGGACTTCAGTTTGTCTTTGTCTGACATATTTATTGTATAAAACAGTATTATTGTCTGGTTACATGCAAAATTTACAGTTTGTCTTTGTCTGACATATTTATTGTATAAAACAGTATTCATTTTCTGGTTACATGCAAAATTTATACATTAGTCATTCAATGGAAGCACACGACGTGAGCCTGAATGTCGAGTAATATGCACTAGATTCTTTTTTAAATTTTCAGATTAAACCATGATGGGATAGGTTACAATCTTAGATCCAAACTGTTGAATGAAAAAAAAATATTGAAATATATTTATTTAGGTCTTCAACGATATTTGAAAAATAAAACTCTCGGGATACCATTCTGGGATTGGACTGAAAAAGCTCTTGACATACCATACCTGATTCGTCTTCCTGAAATATATGATCCCATTCTGAAGAAATATGTTCACAATCCATTCCATCAAACCCATATACTAGCTCTAAATCAAACGTGAGTTAATTATTTTTCACCTTTCATTTTATTTTGATAATACAGCTTCTACTTGTTTGTTGTCGTCGTGTATTTAACTATTTATTTGTGTCATAGCCTGCTGTTTTTCCAACGGGTATATTGTGGTTATGATGTCATAATTGCCCCATGCTTTTTACCGGCCTGCGTGCTTGCTATTGCTTCCTGTGTTTTAGATTTTATTTCATTAAGCTGCGTTTTACCAACCTTTTACTTTGCCGTATGATGAACTGTATATTTCTTTCAAATAGGAATTTTGTAATACTGTAATTTTTTAGGCTTCAACTCGTACAATTAATTTATTGCCGAGAGCCTTTTGTGTTTCAAGCATGAAGGTTTTCATAGCTGCCAATTTAAATAAACATTTTGTACTTTAAAACCTATAAACCATTTTTGAGAACATCATGTCGTTTACATAAAAGCACTTGTGTGTTTAATATTAATGGCGTTAGAACAGATTTAATAATACCGTTATAATTCAGGCACACGAGGCGTCGGATATGGTATCCAGGCGTTTTAATGGAACACTTCTTCCAAAAAGCAACAACACGTGCACTTTTATCTCATCATTATTACCATTTTGATTCAATTATTTCTACTTATTCTCATGACCAGGTGAAAGAGTCTACTTTTATCATAAACGGTTGTTTACACCAAATAATCTCAAAAAGAATTTAGGACCTCCTGAGATCTGCGCACCAAGATGGCGCACAACCTGAACTCAGGTTGTGTATCGGGTTAGGGTTCAGGTTACGACATCTTGGTGCGCATGCTTCCGGAGTAACAGAATTTATTTCAACAGACCTTATGGCACGCCGAAGGAATGGCGCATACATGTAGTAATTTTTTCCCCTTTCATTGTTAAATTACTAATTCAATGCCGAGCTATTCTAAAACAGCTGGCCACAAAGCTGGTATCAATCCAATCAGTATTTTTACCGGATTTGTTTAGTAAATCTGTAGTAAAATATTACGAAAATGGTTTTGTTTTAAATCATGTAGTATTTATCAAATACCTAATATTTGTGTATTAATATCTATAGATACTATAGTGGGCTACTTCTATTTTCAAAAACGACTAGACGTTACTGTTGTTGTTTTTTATTAAAGCTGTGTGCTTCCACGACTTCTAATCTACAAACTTGATTTTTTAATTCTTGAAGATGTGTTGTTGTTTGTCGTATACTCTGTCTATATATTTCGAAAGAAGCACAGCCTCGCCTGATCACTTTGAATCAATGGCTTACAACCTTTTAAGCACATTTCTTCTTTTGCCTTTTGTAACTCTTTATTTGCCATTTTGAACGAAAAATAGGTATTTTCACGTCACTACACTTACACATTCTGTTTCCGTTTAATGGATCTTGAACTAGCTACTCTTGAAACATTTTATATACGAAATATATACTAATATATTCATTTAGATTCATAACTGCTTCTGCTACGATCCACCACGAAAAACTGACCCAGCTGGATGGTGTAACATAGGAATGCCCACAACAACGTTCGCCTCGTACGACCCAGCGTTTATGCTTCACCATAGCGCCATGGACCGCGTACTTGTCATGAGGAGACACTTAGAGGAGGATGCGGGTGTTACTGATTGGACTTCTAGTCGGATAATTTCAGCGTATCCGGAAGTATGAAATATTTGTATTCTTTTTTTTATGATTTCAGAATATAAAGATGTATTCATATTTGTTCTTATATTTGTCTACTTTAGTATATTCTGATAAAGAGTGTTTGTTACTTACTATTAATAAAGAAAACCTATTTAGATTTATCCCAATCATCGACACAGTCAGATTTATAGTACATCAGGAAACATAAATATAGACTTATGTCATTTGAGGAGTCTAATTTGATTTCGAGATACGACATAAAAATACCTATAATACCAATTTATTCGTACTTTGAAACTCGTTGCAACCTAGGATAATACGAAAGCACTAAAACAACCAATTGGTAATTTTTTACCATAATAAAATTTGGAACGTCAATTTGCCTTGCTGTGGTAATTGTCAGCGACTTCAAAATTGTAGACTTTTGACAGCTTCACGTCAATTACCGTATTTCATTTATATCAGAAAATATGTTCTTTAGCAGGGACTCTCAAACTCTTTAGGGTATGAAGCCCGTGAAGAGCTTGACTATTATTTACAGAGCCCCATAATGAAGTTATAAAATTATCTATAGGAATTTATAGATAATGTCATATTATAACAAGAGAGCTATGCTCAAATATATGGACACGTAGCGCCATCCAATGGCAATAATTTTGATGACGTCATAGCGAAAAAAAGTATCTTTAACCACTGAAAATTTCAAAGCAATTGGTCCAGTATTCGAAGAGAAAAGCGATTTTTTAAAAATGTCCACTTCGTGTCCAATTACTGTCTTCTTGCCACTTTTCGACGCTACCGTTGTCAGATTTTATTAATGCCGAGCTTTTTAGCTCAAGAAGCCCCAGGGTTTCTCTAATGGAGCCCTAGCGCAGGGCTACTCAACTGGCGGACCGCGGTCCAAATTCGGACCTTTCGGGTATTCAATTCGGACCGCGTCTAATTCTTCATTTTGAATTATTAGCCGCACTCTGGAAGTTTCCTTTTATAAAATCCCTTTTATAGATTTGAATATATATGAAAATACCTAGAACACAACAATCTTGATTAGCTAATAATCATTAGTCGGTGGAGGAAGTGCGTGTTTAAGGATGCCGAAATATAAGTTCTGGAAAAACTGGACCCAAATATTTTAAAAGTTTTGTATGCGGATCTTCGGTAAAAATAGTTGAGTAGCCCTGCGTAGCGCTCCGCACGGAGCACGTTAAGAATGTTTTTTGGTATAAAGTTCGATATTTTTTGAAAACGATACTACACCTCTCAATTCACTAAGTTAAATACATCGTGGATATTTTATTGCTGATTAGTCAATTTCATTTTTCATGCAATTTCCTACAATTGTCGTTTCCCTATGATTTAGGTATATCACGACTACTCCAACCCCATGAAACATTCATTCGAGTGGCCGTTGGCGCCATTTTGCAACAAAAGCATGAATCCTGAAACCACCACAAGCAAGAACAAAGTTTGGACTTTGCATAGAAGTTATTACAATGAACAACTTTTTGGTTATAAATACGCAGATTTGAATCTCGGTGATTATAATTGGGAAGATTTGAAAAAAGATTTCAAGTACAATAATTTACACAGGAGATTTTGGAATGATGAAGTTTTCGATACACAAATCGGACGTCTAGGTGAAAATTTCTGCTCTCACCCCTCTTACAGCAAGAATTCCGCGTGCTATTTTAGTTGCTAGATTTTTTAGGTCTTCCGTATTAAATAAATGTTAAAGTTGATATTTTCGACTTCATTCGGGTTTTAGTTTCATTTATGTATATTCCATTCAGTTCATTTGTATATATTACAGAAAAAAATAGAAATGAATATTTATTTTATTAACCCACATTTTAGACTCATTTTTTTCTCGCTTTGTGTTGTGTAGTTTTTCTCAGTGTTCCATTAGCCATCTTCCGATACTTCGAGCACGTAACCACCTTTTTATTTCATTTTGGTTTAAAGTGTTTTTGTCTTATACTATAATTACCATTGTGTATCAAGAAAATTACGTAAAAGCCAATAGATTTATATGTTCGTTACGTTTTATATTTGCTAAGTTTTTTTAGGTATATATATCAACTTTGTTCATGTTGGGACTTCGAATCACATTTGAAACTAAGTCACTACAAAATCTCAGAACGTTTTAACATTGATGCATGAATTTTTCTGAATAATTTGACTTCGACCATTAGTTTTGTACAAAATTAAGCTATTTCATAATATGGTTAAAGCAAAGTTTACTCGCCGATATGAACGATGTTGCTGTGAAGGTCATTGTTGCACTGCTAGAACGGACTACAGCGCCACGTTTCAAAGGTGTGAAACCTGGAAGCTGAGCCTGCCGAAGGCTATTGATATCACTCACTATTAGCTAAATTGAATCAATATATAATGTTATATTTATTGTCTAATATTTGTTACCTCATATACCTATACATCATATTCAAGTACACGCAAATATATAATATACAAAACGACATTTCTCTTCTTCAAGTCGCGCCGGCTGCTCTAATTTTGCTTGAACCTTTTATACTTAGTTTTATTATTTAGTTATCCTCGATCACCTTGGTATTCCCTTCTTCTGGCTCTGAATTCAACATATATACTTTAAAAAAATAAGTGCCACAACATTTGCATCAAAACCATCCTATCCTAATCAATGTAGCATCGTCAAATGTGATGCAGTATGTGTATACATACTCTCAATGAATTTATTTGAAGTTGAAGATTAAAAAAAACTTGCGAAAACGAAAAAATAAGCAACGAAAACATAATTTTTGAATGATTACCATGAGACTGAAAATCGAAGTCATACCTCAAACCGCCTTGTAAACGAAAAAAATGGGGTGAAACGTCCATGGGGAAAAAAGTTTGCACACATGTTTTTTTGCCTAGCAACGACTTCAATTTGCACTAAACACACACTCAGAATTCTGGTTGAAAAATATTTATAGCTTAAAATGTATTTAAATATTTTGGTACTCCCGAAGTATGTGCACCGTGTTAGAATTAGGTCATAATTTCAGGTGCAAATACTAAGGGAGTCACTTGGCTAGTCGCAGAACTCATAATAGAACTAAAATAAGGAAAACTGGAATAAAATTATCGCCTACATCGTACACATACTACGTTCAAGTGTCCGCCATTTTGGTTCACATCAGAGTTGGATCAATTGTAATTGATGCAATTATTTACAAAATTTTCATGTAATTGTAATGGTGGCATTTTCATTCTGTTTGATTGTAACTGTAATTTGCTAAAATTTTCTTCCGAAAACTGTGTTGAACCCCTTCCTGCACCATTGTCAGAATTTTTAAAATTTGAGCAGACTGAGGCATGCTGTAACAACTGCAGAAAGAAAATCAAGTTCTCAACCAAGGCTTCGTCAAACTTGATGACGCACTGGAAGAGCTGTTCTCCCCATCTTTATTGGGGTCAGAAACTTTTCGCAGCCAAATCTTCATCAAGTGCAACAGTTTTTGAGCAAGTGAAAATGTAAATACCAACCAAAATGGTATAATTGTAAATGTAATTTGATATTTTTTGCAAGGAGTAACTGTAATGTAATTGAAAAATTTAGGGGAGTAATTGTAATTGAACTGAATTGACGTAATTGATCCAACTCTGGTTCACATACTTCAGGAGTACCAATATTCTGAATCTAAACTACCTCAATATGCAGCATAATTAATTAGCAGACAATAAGAATTTTTATAACAAGAAGACGGATGAAAAGAAAAACGTAGATGTTATTTTTATTCTCGAACCTGGTTCCATTTGGAAATTTTTCTCGTTAAGTTTACAGATTCACATCAAAACATCAACGGCTGGTAAATCTTTAGCTGACGGCAATATACTATTCGGGGTTGGAGGGATTTGTTGCGATTTTCTTAGAATTGCAATAGCTTCAATAGAATTTTGGGTGAAAAGAACTTTCATTTCTTCCTGTGTCAAGGTTTCATATTTTAAAAGTGCTTGGGCAAGCAGTTTATGTTGTTGACCATATTTAGAAAGAAGTTTTTTGGCTCTTGTGTATGAATCAGTTAAAATTGTATTCACTTCAGTTTCAATAATTCGTTTGTTTTCTGGACTCACATTGTCATAATCATACGCAACAAAACCCAAAGTTTCTGACATTCCAAAATTACAAACTAGCTTATAAGCGAGTTTTGTAGCAACATCTAAATCATTAGATGCACCGGTTGTAACATTTTCTTTTCCTGATAGAATTTCTTCTGCTACTCGACCGCCCATTGCAACATCAATTTGCGCCCGAATTTTTGCATTCGTGGTACTCAATTCATCATCCCGAGTAGGAATTAATGATGTATGTCCCAAAGCTCCACCACGTTGAGAAATAGTCACTTTAAAGATTGGCAAAGCCCCTGAAGTATGGTAGGCCACAAGAGCATGTCCCGCCTCATGGAAAGCTGTATTGAGCAATTCTTTTTCTGTCCGTAATCTACTCTTGAGTTCAGGGCCCATTCTAAGTTTATCCAAAGCATGCTCAAAATCTTCCATTTCAACAAATTCTTTATGTAATTGAGCAGCACGAAGAGCTGCCTGATTCACTAAATTTGATAGATCTGCACCAGTCATGCCCCCAGTTAAACAAGCAATTCTATCCAAGTCAATATCACTGTCATGTACAGTTTTTTTCACATATAATTCCAAAATTTCCTTTCTTCCTTTAATATCTGGTGGCATGACATTAATTTCGGTGTCAAATCGACCAGGTCTTGTTAGGGCCTTATCCAACACTTTTCCCATATTGGTAGCACCCAGTACAATAACGCTTTCCTTGCTTTTAAAACCATCCATTTCTTGCAGAAGTTGGTTAATAGTTTGCCTAGCATACGGCTGAAGAGGGGACGATGTTCTGGCATCGCCACATGCATCTATTTCGTCAATAAAAATTATACAAGGAGCGTTTTCTCTTGCTTCAGCAAAAAGACCACGAATTCTTGAACTCCCAACGCCAACAAACATCTCATCAAATTCTGACCCAGACGCGTAGTAAAATGGTACTTTTGCTTCGCCAGCGATAGCTCTCGCCAGCAAGGTTTTTCCTGTTCCTGGAGGTCCAACGAGCAACATCCCTTTCGGAAGTTTTCCACCAAGATTTGTAAATCGATCTGGATCTTTTAGAAACTCAACAACATCTTGTAGCTCTTGTTTTACTTCATCAATACCCTTAACGTCATCAAAGGAAACATCAGGAATCTCAGCTTTAAAATCTGTTTTTCCAAATGAAACGAGTTTCTTTAACGGACTAGTTGACGCAAACTTGATCGAGACTGTACCTAATAAAAAGATGACTATTGAACCAACAATAATCACTTTAATCAGAAATTTTCTCAAATCATTGATTTTTGCTTGATTTCTGGCTGCTGTTGATTGTAACCGTAATCCTTCTTGAAGCCCTAGCCTTATCGAAATTGCCTCTTTCTGGGAAAGCTTCAGTCTTTTTGTCAAGTCGGAGACAGTTTTATCGACTTCGTCTTGTGACACCTGTTTATTATGAAGAAGCTGCTCATTGGTTTCTTGTGTATTTATTGGGGATCCACTGCCCCTGACCTGGAAAAATCGAAACGCAATACTGGATTTAGAGACATTTGTCTGGGGATGTATCAGTTTATTGTCATCAGAAAGTATCCGATTTACTGCAGATGAATGATAGCCGATTATTCCAGATCTTGTATGAGGAATATTTTTAGTAATTCCATGTGATGTAATCCTTCTGCATATGAGAACACAAGAAGCTCTTTGTATGGACATTTTCCGTATATAAGAAGGAACAATTACAATACAGCAATAGGCTACTGTATAATTCTGATAATGAACAAATTTGAGAATAATAATTTCAATGACAACTTGATAAGAATATAATATTGTAACTTGAAGGCAGGAAAAAAAAATGTTCTTGATTATTTCTTTTATTGCAGTATTGGGAATGAAGTTAGTCTACTATAAATCTAACTTTTAATTAAATTTTGGGCATAATTTGCAGTTACGAACGATTTTTATCAAATACTGAAATGAAGTGTCAACCTGTATTTTCATATTTGAAATAACCAAATATCCATGGTTATTGTACAGAACGAAGGTTCTGGATATTTCAAACAACTTTTTAATCGAATAAAGAAATAAGAGAAAGAGTCATTTCATTTTGTTAAACCAAGAAAAAATCAATTAATATTTCAACAAAAATACGAAAGAACATTAAATTGACCCAAAATTTAAACAAGATCTGCCCTTAGAGATAAAAAAATATTTTGGTTTTGAATGGATATTTTAAAAACCTTTGCAATCAAATTTAAAAAAAAACGTTTCAAGCCCTGTATATAGCACTACTGCACTAGGGTCTTTCATGGAGGGCTCACTTAAAATATTTCAAAGTCTATTTGCGAGTAGTGGGGATTAAATAACTGTAGTCTACTCAGTATAAGTACGGTACGGTATATAACTGTATTATGATTCCTCGGCACTAAGCTACAAATCTTATTGTCTCTGCTGTACAGTTGTAAATGATTGGACCGAGTTACCGCTGTACCGGTACCGCACCCCAGCCGGCCCACACTCACCCTGCTCTCAACGGCTTAACAAAAACAACCATTGTAGGCTACTGGCGCGGCGGTGTGGCTCAACGGGCTAAACGTTAGGAATACGCTCGCCACCGCACCTCTAATTACTCTGCGATGGTTCGCATGTTCGAATCCCATGCAGGGATGGTTATGTGCGAGAGGATTGCTGGACTCCTCGCCGTCGTTGGGTGGTTCACATAACCGCTGGTCGGTTATGGCTTCCTCCACCACCAAGTCCATGCTTCCGAAAACAAACAATATAACTAATCCCATACCCGACTTGGAATGGTAACCGGACGACAGGACGAGAGGCCGTGGTTCGCGGGCAACCCTAAAATGCGGGAAACGGGAACGACGGGAACTACGGGAAATGCACTAAAATGCGGGAACTGCGGGAACGACGGGAAATTGCAAAAACTAAAATGCGGGAACTACGGGAATGACGGGAACTACGGGAAATTTCACTAAAAAGCGGTAAATTTCACAAAAAGCGGGAATGACGGGAAATCGCTTTAAGGTACGGGAAATATTCATTTTGGGGTATGTTTAGGGGAAATTGTTCTAGAAAACGAAAGCAATGGTTAATATACGCTTGGGGGTGTATGTACGTGAAAATTTATCTAAAATGCGGGAACGACGGCAAATCGCGTTTTAAAGTACTGGAAATACTCATTTCAGAGTATGTTTAGAAGAAATTGCACTAGAAAATGGAAGCAACGGGAAATATACGCTTGGGTTGTGTGGATACGGAGATTTCACTAAGAGATTCTAATAATACCGGATTCGGATAATATGTATGTTAGTACAATTACCCCGTACATGCACACTCAAGTATAAACGGCACTCCGGAAGTATGTGCAACAAGATGACGCACAACCTGAACTCTAACCTGGTATACATACTATGTTCAGGTTGTGCGTCATCTTGTTGCACATACTTCGGGAGCGCCGTATAAACTTGCCGTTGCTTTTGCTATTCAATGCAAAATTACCCCACACATACTCTAAAATACATATTTCCCATACCCTAAAGCAAATTCCCGTCATTCCCGTCTTTTGTGAAATTTCCCGTAGTTCCCGCAATTTCAAATTGACAAATTCCCGTCGTTCCCGCAGTTCCCGCTTTTTAGTGCATTTCCCGTCGTTCCCGCAGTTCCCGCATTTTAGGGCCCTAAAATGCGGGAAACGGGAATGACGGGAAACGTTAATAACAAGCGAGAAAATGTTACAAAAAACGGGAATGACGGAAAATCGCTCGAAGATAAAGGAAATATGTATTATAGTACGATTACTACGTACATGCACACTTAAGAATAAACGGCACTTCGGAAGTATTTGCAACAAAATGGCGCACAACCTGAGCTTTAACCTGGTACACATACTTGGTTCAGGTTGTGCGCCATCTTGATGAACATACTCGAGAGCACTGTATAAACTTGCCGTTACTTTCGCCCTTCAGTGAAAATTTACCTCACACATACTCTAAAATACATATTTCCCATACCCTAAAGCAAATTCCCGTCATTCCCGTCTTTTGTGAAATTTCCCGTAGTTCCCGCAATTTCAAATTGACAAATTCCCGTCGTTCCCGCAGTTCCCGTTTTTTAGTGCATTTCCCGTCGTTCCCGTTTCCCGCATTTTAGGGCCCTAATGACGGGAAAATTTACTAATAAGCGGGAGAATGTTACGAAATGCGGGAAAGAGGGGAAATTGCTCTCAGATAGGGAAAATATGCATTTTAGAGTGTATGTAGGGGAAATTTCACTAAATAGCGGGGAATTTCACACAAAGTGGGAATGACGGGAAATAGCTCTAAGATTGGGGAAATGGGCATTTTATTGTGTATGTACGGGAAATTGTACTAGAAGGCGAGAGCAACGGGAAATATACACTTGAATGTGTAGGTACAAGAAATTGTATTGAAAAGCGGAAATTACGGAAAATATTACTCATGAGTAGGAACTATGTGATATTTTGGGAAATTTCACTGAAAATTGGGTGGGTATAAGGGAAATTCTCTAAATAAGCGGCGATGACGGGAACAACGGTAATTGATGGCGATGACGGCAATGAAAAGCGAACGTATTGACAAATGACGGGGAGAGTCGGAAGAGTAAGAGCATCGCGTAAAAAATAAATAATATGTATTTAGCTGTTTTATATAGAAAATTACAACAAAATATGTAAGTATTGAAAATGGCGGGAAGAGCGGAAAATTGCGGAAAAGGCGGGAAGAGTAAGAATATCTCGGGAATGCGGAAAATAGGTATTTAGGTGTTTTATATAGAAAATTGCAACAAAATACGTAAGTCTTGAAAATGGTGGGAAGAGCGGAAAATTGCGGAAAAGACGGGAAGAGTGAGAATATGGCGGGAATGCGGAAAATAAGTATTCAGGTGTTTTATATAGAAAAGGGCAAAAAATACGTAAGTATTGAAAATAGCGGGAAGAGCGGAAAAATGCGGGAAGAGTAAGAATATCGCGGGAATGCGGAAAATAAGTATTCAGGTGTTTTATATAGAAAATTGAAACAAAATACGTAAGTATTGAAAATGGCGGAAAAGGCGGGAAGAGTAAGAATATCTCGGGAATGCGGAAAATAAGTATTTAGGTGTTTTATATAGAAAATTGCAACAAAATACGTAAGTATTGAAAATGGTGGGAAGAACGGAAAAGGCGGGAAGATTGAGAAAATCGCTGTAAAACAGGAAGTTTATATTTAGGTGTTTTTATACAGGACATTACAATGAAATGCGAGATTCGGGAAGAACAAGAAATCTATGTACAGCATAAGATTCCTGCGGAAATCGTTTTTATTTCCACAACAGCAAGAAAAGCATCTTATAAAGTCAATTCATATGTAGCCTGCTAAGACATGGCAGGCTGCGCTTTCGAAATTGTCCAAGCTATGTAGCGCGCGTTTCATCTATCACGATTAATAAGTATAAGTTTATTTCGACTCCATAAATAAATAAAAACCGATTATGATATCAGGAGAGCAAACAAAATCTTAGATAAGGTTGAAAACGCACAGAATATAAGATGGAGGGTTTTGCCAAGAAGAAGTGGTACGTGTTCACTCACCTAAAATATTTCACACACGCTCACACACACAACCATACAGAAGTTATAAAGTAAGAAGAACATGATAAATTACATACTGGTAGTTAAAAAATATATATGAATAAATGAAAAATCACTGGCCACACCATATTAATAAATTTATATTGTTTTCCACTGCCGAATTGATCGATTCTATAAATAGGAGTGAACAGTAAAGATGAATTTTTATGAAAAATATATCGCCAAGCTGATTATTGTACACTTTTGTGGACATAACGATCGTTTCAATATTATATTATTATTTTTCTTTTGCTTGGTCATGATAAAATCGCTTTTCTCTTCGAATACTTGACTAATTGTTTTGAAATTTTCAGTGGTTAAAGATTAATTTTATCGCCAGAAGGCTATCACTTTTACTTATTTCAAAAATTTCTGTGGACTTCAAGAGATTCGTTTTTTATGTGTCAGAATAAAAATAGCGACACCTTGTGACGTGTCCATATATTTGAGCACAGCTCTCTTGTTATATTTAATTTAGGGTAGGGCGATAGGGTAAAGGAATATATTGGTTACCAAGGTAAGGTTTTTTTAATTTTTAGATATTGACTTCTGCAAGGATAACGGAATTAGGATTGTTACTTAACAGGATCATTTCTTCATTAAGTTATTATGACGCAATTGATGTCAATTCAAATTTATCGTGGATGAGACATCAGCGAATTTTGTTGATGTAGACACCATTTATATTCAATAAGCTAGCCAATGAATTGATCATCACGAAACGACCTGAAAAACGGAAAATAAATCTGCGAGTAATAGAATATTCAAGGGTTACATATTAGGAAACAACACTACCCTACCTACACTTTTGTTGAGAAGAAATTATTATTTTGAGTAGATATTGATCATTAGTTATTTATCTTTAAAACGCTAGTTGAAAGGCATGAGTTGAATTCTGGTTGGGATACAGGGTAAATTTCTTGCAAACCATGCAAAAACTCTCAAACCACACTAACCATTTGCATGTTTCGTGAACTTTAACCACTTCTAATACTCATATTTTACTGTGAACTTATCAGCGTAAACTTGGAGGGAGCTGACTCCGATGACTGCATGATCGTATCACTCCTTCCAGTCTATACCGAAAGAAGTGTATTTTTTCTTTAGCCATTATTTATTGTTATGAATGTTTTTTCTGGTGCGCGAAATAAAATCTCTCTCTCTCTG